ATAAGGGAAATTCTATATATATTATTTACCTAATTTAAACCAATACAGATAGATTAGTACATCAAGGAGAGAGTAACTAATAATGAATTTACGGATTTTTACTTACGCTGCTGCTTTGACACCCTTAAATTCGGCTGAATTAAAGCCTTCGTCGTTTTTTTTTTAATGGTTACCATGTAAAAATGTGCACATGGTAAATTGTTTGTTGACGCTTTACGGAATCTTTCTGAAGCCATTTTTTAGTTTAACACAAACTATAAATTATTTAAATCCACAAAGTAATTAATGAAACACAACCACACAACTAAACACTATGGACAGAACGTAAACAATCCGCCATTTATATGACCATAGACGTCACAACCAATAGGATTGCGTTTTAGAGATTCATGAATAATTTGAATTTTAGCTGAATTTGTTTATTAAATATTTAACAAAATAGCAATAGAGATAGTATAAACTTATTTAATCTTTCATATATATCTATTACCATAGAAAATGTTCAGTTTGTAGGACCTCCTATTGGATGAGTGTAAGAATTCTACTGATCTAAGAACAAATCGAATATTCAAGAGAGGTCATCGCAGCAAAAATCGAATACTGGAGAAAGCATGTAAAGAGGTAGATAGATGTATAGGAAATACGAGAGCAAACAGAGCGTGGAAAATGCTAAAGGAATGAGAACCACTAAGAAAGATACATACGTCAGAAATAAGTCTCATTAACATGCGAGAATGGGTAAACAACTACAAGGACTGTTGACTGAGGACCGAGTAAAATTCATCATCACGCCCAAAACACCCGAAGAATTAAGAATAACATTAACTCAGATGAATAACTAAAAGGCCCGTGGCCCAGGCAATATCAACATTGAATTACTGAAGGCAGTGCTAAATGTAGCTTTGAACATATCAGTAGTCATCTTCAATCAATGTATAGAGGGTAGAGAATACCCAAATGAATGGAAAAAAGGGGTCATTACATCGATCTTCAAAAAAAGGAGACATGCGAGATTGCAAGAATTATCGGAGGATAAGAGTTATGTGTTCAATCGCACGCCTTTATGGTAGGGTGTTAAAACGCAGGATAGAGCAACAAGATCATGTATTGATGGTGTTTCACATTAAAAAACTTGATACAAAACGTGTCGAAAAATGAAGGGCTGTTCATTTGATATTCGTTGACCTACAGAGAGTATACGATACAGTGCCGTTAAACAAGTTGTGGCTTTACATGAGAAACAGTGGTATCGATAAAGTCTCTATATTAATGCCGTTCATACTTATATTCAAACAATTCAGTTCAGTAAAGATATTCTGACTGACCCAGGAGTTTCAAGTGACGAAAGGTTGCTCTTGGTTTTCGGAAATGTTGGCAACATTTGGGCGTGTGTATCAATGGCGATACCTTATATACCCTACTATTCGCGGATGACCAAGTTATTGTAGCGGAAGCTGAGGACGATGCCAGCCAGCTACATGTTTCGCAAACTTCAAGAGAGTTATGAAGACTGGGTCCTCACCATAAACATAAAAAATTCCGAATATATGCTAGTAGGAGCAGGACAAGATTTGGAAGTGGGGCATAACAAGATCAAGAGTTGTACTTCATTTGAATACCTTGGAGTTACACTATCTTCCATCGGAAAAAGTACCGGCGACATCACTAACAAGATAGGTCAAGGAACGAGTTATTCGACAACTAAACTCGTTACTTTGGAGCTTAGCAATACCAAAAAATGCGAAAATTCCTATCTATAAAACGATCGCTTTAGGTGCTATTACAGGTCAAAAGATCATGAAGAAACTTTTCAGAAAATACCTGAACTAATGCGGTTTCAGAATCGACTAAAGTAATTTTCTTGATTAGTTGAAACGAAAACAATGAAAGGGGGACATTTGTTTGGGTTAGTTTGATTGATATTTAATTCTATTGCTGAACTCTAATTTATAACATTTTTAAGTTTTAAGAGCAAACTTTATAAGAATTAAATTATAGTCGGCAGCAGCACTTCACAAGTTTATGTTAAAAAGTGGTTTTGAACATTGTTGTCAGAAATATAAAACGGCAAAAAATTACCTTTCAGAAAATAACTGAATGAGGAATTTATGAGATTAATAAAAATAAGGTTTAATGGAACTGGTAAAATGTTCATGTATGTAATAACAGTTTTAATTCATAAAACTTTATGATAACAAAACCAATAAATCGGTTTTGTTTGAAAATAGCGAACTGTTCATATTCGTCTGGAGATCAACTGCATGCGACTTTAGCTCGGTTAATAATGAAACTCGTCCTTAAAAAACTGAAAGGGGATTATTTGTATTGGAAAACACATTAATAATCAACGTTAATTTTAAATGAAAACTGCCCAAAGCGTAAAACAGCTAATGATACAAAGTCATTCAGATGTTTAAAACCAGAAATTAATCAGGCATGAAGCTTAAAGAAAAATCAAAAGGGAAAACAAAACATTAGGAAAACATAAAAAGAGCTACTGAAAATCAAACTTGCTTATCGAATAGAAATAAATAGAAAACATATTTATAAAACAACGCAAACGTTAAGAACAGCTCTTGGAAAATATCGCACCAAACACAAACATCAATAATAGAACGTGACACAAGCATTAAGAAAAAATAGTTTTGATTAACTGCAAATTTTAGGCCTGAAAGAAGTAAATAATCAGTGCCGTTCACAGCATTAATTTAAAATTTCCCAAAAAATGTTGACATATTTTTGTCTTAAAGCCCTAAAAGAAAATTCTGTTACTCAGATCAACCTTAAAACGACCAAATCAATTTAATTATAATCTTTTATCTACAACTATTATGTAGTGACTATGATTTGGCACTCTTTCAAATGTCATAATTATGTTTATTACCGCACTAGTGCGGTAATAAATCTGCCGATTATTGTCAAAGTTGTGTCTTAAAATTGGACATTTTAATTAAGCCACAGTTTGACAAATGGTTGTTATTATTGACAAAGGCTGTCTACCTGTAACTATCTGTTAATGACAAAAAACATCATTGCGACTTTGCCTTTTCATCGAAAAATTGTCGTAATTTTTTTTCTCGAATGATTAAGTATTCAGATAGGCTACCTATACGTGCTATAATATACGTGGGGCCGTTTCAGTTTTAATTTATTAAATTTTATGATAACAAAACCAATTTAATTAAATCGGTTTTGTTTGAAAAACAGACATGTTCTTTAAGTTTTAATGAAACAAAATCAAGAGTTTTACAAGCTTACCGTGTTTGTGAAAAATTTCTTTACTTAAAACAATCTTAATTGAAATATCCACGTTGGTGGCTAAAGCCACCAAACATTTTTCTCATTGAGACATTCCGAAATATCTTAATGGATCCAAAGCTCGAAATAAGAATTACTGCTAAATACGCTGCGTTTCACAGAAACAGTGTTACCACACTTAAGGGTGCTAGTTTGCTAAGAGGTCGTCCCACCAACATATACATATGTATATAACAGAGCGCCATCTACGTTTCAAATCTCCAACTAAATGTTATGTTGGTAGATGTTTGATGTCATTCTGGCACCCATCTGATAATTTAATATAACGTCTGTTTCGGTCATATGAGAAATTTTTTTTTTAAGGAGAAACAATCTGGCACCTGTTTACGGGTGCCAAAATGTCTTGTATGTGTAAAAATGATGCCACTATGACAAAATCCATGTAGAAAGTAATTTAAAAATTCCCACCTGTCATTGGGGGCAATCTGGGCACCTCATCTTGGATAGTGCTGGCTAAATCATACATGTCTTCGCTAGTACTTGCGTCGATTAGACGAATGCATATTTTATTATAATCCTTTATCCCGCCCATAAACATTTCCATCTACAAGGTAAACAAATTTATTGTATTTTGAGGCAAAAAACACCATAAAAATAAACATAGCTAAAGAGACTTTATACCTTTTCTCCACGCAGAAGCTCAATGGGTAATTCCTGAACTTTATATTTCAAAGTCGTGTCTTCAAATTTAGATTCGAGATAACTAGTTTGATCTGATTCTGCCAGTTCGCTGTTACTATCAATAGGATCCTACGAAAAAATTGTTTGAACCTTACTTAGTTTGCTCTGAGTTATACGCCAAATAATATTTATTCTTACATCCGTTTCCCCGTGATTCGAAATTACTTCCTCAATTTCTATATTCTCTATAACAGTGTTATCGTCTTCGATAATCTCGCCAGGTTCCACAGAAGACCTATAAGAGAACGGTGTTGCTTTTAATATGATCCGGACACAAAACCATGAAGTAATGTACCTGGACAAATTGGGACATAGTTCGACTAATCTCTGATTAATAAAAATCTGCTCGTTATTGTAAACATCTGCAAGTGGTAGTTCCACGTCAAGAGACCCTTCAATAACAATTCTGCACCAATCGGTAACTAAGTCACGGAAATGGTCGTAGTCGGAAGTTAACCAGGAGCCAGACTTATCAAAAACCTGAGAGACATTTGTTTTATGCCGAATATGAGAAAACATTTCGTCACCTACTCGGTTCAGCTTAATTTTCGTAGCAAATGCCCGAATTTCAGTATAAAGCACTTCGCGGAATAATTCATCTCTTGATATCTTATGATCGCTTCCAAAATCAATCATATACACGTATACCATGTTTGAATCATCAGTACTTAAGACCTTTCCTCGATACCTGGAAATTGATGAAGTTAGTGGTCAGTGACGCATAATATACCATTCATTACCAATTTCCATCATTGAATTTGATAGTACAGAGCTCACCAGCCTGCCATGCTTGATCGCTTACTGACGGCGGATGACGATCAAAAAATGCTTTAATATTTGCTTCCATTTTAAGGTAAGCCTCATGTAGAGGCGCTGTATGAACAAATAAATGTCCTCCAGTCTCCACGCATGTTACCCGCGCCTACAAAGCATTTATTTGACCTTATTTGCATAGTTAATCATATATATTCATATATACCCGAAAGTCTCTGTCTACTATTTTAAAGGGTGGTAGCCAATCAGTGATTTCTACTTCATTTTTATTGCATATTGATTCGGCATCATCTTCGCAGCTATGCTCATCGTCGGTTCCACATGGCTGTGTTGGATCAGCTGGGTTTTCCGGTTCAATTGAATCACTTTTACTGAGACCTGTCGAAGAATTGCTTTCTCCAGCTTCAGCACTTTCAAGAATTTCTTCATACCAGGTTTTCTTCTGAGGCTCACACGGTGTGATCGAGCACTTCTCTTCAATAACTTCAGATTGAATATTCGGAATATCCTGAAAAGGTTGAAACATGCATATGTAAGCGTGTCTTCAATTTTATTTTTTTAAATAAAGAATGAACTAAATTTTATTCGGTTCAGTGTAAAATATTAAAATTTGGCTCCTCTTTGATAGAGGATTCGGTTCCCGAATATTTTACAAAACTTTATATTGTTGTTCATGTTTTGTATCGTAATGCTTTTCTATGTTATATTCTTTTAATGTCGATACAGTCTTTGAGCATATTAAGCATACAGCTTTATCTTTGACAAAAGTGAAAACATTTTTAGTTTGTATTGAATGTTTGAACAAGTCGCCGACAAGTGAGTAACGCGTCAAAAATTGTTTCGGTTTAGTATGTACGTCCATTTTATTGTAATTAATTTTATAATATATTGATTGGAGAAAGTCGATATCATTAACTCAATTTTTTTAATAGCGTATACTTTTTAATAGCGTGTTGCGCATCCCTGGTATAGACTGTACTAGTTTACGTAATTCGATTAAAAATTTTCCACCTTAAGGAATGCCGCTTCTGCGGTATATGTTGTGGGTTTTGTTCTGCTCAATCTGAATGCAAAACCGAATTTAATCAATGAGTTGGCGATAGATACATATTTTATTTTATCTGGTTCCAGAGCTCCTCCCCGAATGATTAGCCCATACCTGAAAATAAATTATTTTTAATACAACTGTTTACATTCAAATAGAGCAATTTACGGATTTATACCGTAACAATATATCTTTGATATTCATCTGCAAAAGAGATTTTGTAATACTCACCACATATCAATTGCCAAACTTGCTGTCGACAAATCAGATTCTTCATTATTTACTATAGCTGCATATATTCTATGATGTTTACGGAATATTTCCTAAAAATTGTCTATGAATTAGTTCAGGTACACAAAAAGTGATTTTCACATTGTTTCAATGCTGAAAAATACCTGTAAAGCTTCAATTGACGAAATACTCCATTGCCCAGTGTCTCCTGCAGGACGAATGTTAGCCAAATGGCACTTAAACACTGCCTGTTGATATCGCGCAAAATACTGATTGTACTTATAAATCTTATCCACTGAAACTGTGATGTGTTTAATCTGTGAAAAGAAAAAAACGTGTCATTGTAAATGATTCTTTTAACTTGGAAATTTTTGTATTACCTGATCGACTAAGTATACGCTATAGTCATTGCCGACCGCTTTTGTTATTTTTCCTCGAGCATACTGATTATCTGATTCCGTTACACACAGTTCTCCCACTTCCCATTTTGGTTGGGTTTGATGGTCCTGACTATAATGCACCTGCAGATTTTTAAACATCTCTCGTTCTCTAAAATTTAGCACAAAATCAGTGATTTTCAATGTCCGCATCAACACAAGAAATAGCGCCTACCTGTCTTTAAAATGCACGAACTTGAGCCAAATTAGTTCGGGTGATTCAACCTTAACTATGTCCACTCTTTTCTTAGCGATCCCGGACAAATCTTCTTCATCGGAACCGTCCTCAAATTTCGCTTCTTCATCGACTTTCTTTAACAACGACGACACCAAACCATCATTAGTACAAATATCCGAGTCCTCAGCCTCTGCCAATCTTTGCCATACACGTTGCGTTGATCTAGAAAATTAAATTACAAAAAAACTCTTTTTAAGTAGAAACTGAATACATTTGTCCTGTAGAATTGGCCAAGTTGTGTTCCACCATGGCGGCATTTAGGCAAATATCCGCATTAGTGTTCATGCTAAAAAGAGCTACCTCGATATCAGGTTTAACGTCCTGAACTATCATTTTGAGTACCTCTTGAGATCTTTGATAAGTATGAAGAAAATTTGCGGCTTTTGCGGGCCAAACCGACTGGTTATTACTAGGAGCAATATGAGCTAATTTTACCAAAACAGCCTGAAAATAATGAATTATTTAAAATTTATTAGGATGACTTGGTTGATTCTTACTTGGCTTTCGACTTTTGTTAAGTGTTTTTGCAAAGGCTTAATCTTGTTGGTGGATACAATGACATTGATACCCCAATCCACCAACAGCACATGAACTGTATCGAGATTAATGTCCACGCGTTTGATTAAGGCACGATGCCAATACGCACTCATAAAACTTCGATGCTCGACAAGTGCATACGTCCCTAAAAATAATGTAAAACATTATTTGCTAAATGCCAAATATTCGTACTTGAATATACCTTCGATCGGCATGCAGCCTTTCGAACTGTGACTCTTGAACGCCTTTTTAATTTCATGGTTCATACTTTTCATGGCCTCTTGATTTTTCACCTGAAAAGTAATTCAAGTTTCAAATATGTTTACACCGCCTGTTGCTATATCTTGCCATTAAAAATATTTTCTATAAACTGCCTAAAAGACGCCTGTACCCCTGGATATTCAGAAAACAAATAGACTACATAGAACGCGATTACATCGGTGAAATTTTACTCAGGAGCGGATATAAGGTCAGATCACAACTCATTGGTCACCCAATTCCGAATAAGGCTGAAAAGAATTGAAACAAGAGTTCTTAAAAACCTAATAGACATTAATCGCTTAAAAAACCACACTACGAAACAGAAAGTAGAAAGGCATATTCAAGAAAACTTAATAGAAATCGATGAAACAGAACTTCATAATGATGTACATTGGAACACACTTATAACTCATGAATGCGAGAACATGTAAGTACAAAGATAAATATCAATACAAACAAGTCGATATTGTAATTAAGAAGCAGATCCGCAAAGCAAAACAACAATGGCAGGAGGACAAATGTACGGAAATCGAAGAACTTGCAACTAAATATGACTCATTTACTATGCATAAGAGAGTGAAAGAACTTAGAGGTGACTAGAACAGCAAACAAGCGTTTATGCTTAAAGATCAGCAGGGAAATATTGTGGTTGACATAAAGGAAAAGCTGAAAATATGGCAGCAATATGTTGAAGATCTATTTGAAGACGAGAAACATACACCATGCTTTGACAACTTACAAGAGGAGACAGGACCAAGAATAACCGAGGAAGAAGTGATTCATGTTATCAAATCATCGAAGAACCAGAGATCACCGGGACCAGACGAGATACATCCACTAGTGAACTTATTCAACAAAATCTACGAATCCAGCATAATAGCAAAATTATCCCTAATAGAATACACAAAAGACTGGAGGAAGAGATCGCAGCAACACAATTTGGGTTTCGAAGTGGGAGCTCGAGAAGCACTTTTTGCTTTTAATATCTTAATTTAGAAGAGTTTAGATGTAAACCAGGATGTATATGCATGTTTTATAGACTATAATACTATTTTCATGATTCTTGTCGAGATGTAACTGCAAAAACAGCTTGATACCTGAGACATAAGAATAATAACGAATCTTTACAATGGCCAGAGAGCCAGTGGTTCGAGTTGAATCTGATATAACCGACGACTTGCTATTTAACATTTACTCGGAAGAGATTATGAACAAAGCGCTAAACGAAGAAGAGATAAGATGAAAATAAACGGAGACCTCTAAATATTAACTATTAGGTATGCCGACGATACGGTCCTAATCGCAGAAACTCTAGAAGACCTTCAACAAATTTTAACCCAGGTAGTTATAGCGAGTGAGGCAAAGGGCCCGACACTCAATGTTAATAAAACTCAATGTATGATTATCTGGAAGGAATGGAGGGTGAGCGGTGGCATCTACATACAGAGCCCATAGAGCAAGGACACAAGTACGACTACTTGGGTATGAGCGTCAATAACAACAATGGCTTCACTCAGGAAATACTCGACGAACAAAGATGTCATATAAAACATCAACCAGTGGGTAAAGGGAAGAAAACAGGAGTGGAACCAACATGTGAGTACACTGAACCAGGAAGGTCAGATTAGCAAGAGGCAAGTCATCAATTATTGGCAGACGAAGCATAAGATGCTCATGGAAACGCTGGATCGACAAGATCGAAAACGGGGCAATTAAACCGAGGAAGGAACGCAACAGAGGAGCCTATAACCGAAGAAGAAATATGTTTAAACGTAACTTACCAGATGAACGAAAATGTTATATGGATCGACAACATTCACAATTACCACTTTCTGCATTTCGTTCTTAGTAAATGTCGTGCTGTTGGAGAATACTTTCAAAGCCGGATAGCACACTTCCTTCTACGGTAAATAATAATGCTTAACTTGCAATACAATGTTGATCTGAAAAGCATTTTAACAAACCTTACTAGAGGACTGTGATTCATCTGCACTGACCGAATCATCATTACTGCTAGCCACTGAGTGCTGAGCGTAAATTAACACATCAATAACTGAAGTTGCTCCTCCATCTGTCGAGGCTATCATTAGTTCTACCTGGCAAATGCCATTACTATAGCCCTTTTCCATCATTATAACGTCTTTTCTTAAATTGAAAATATCGACATTCTCACTCAAAACTAAAATTGTTTAAAAACGTTATTCCTTACTCTATCAGTAGCTTCGCTAAAGAGTAATGGGCGTCCTTCCTCCAAGTGAAGTCCATAGGATTATACAACATACATTCAATGGCAAACGGTTTTTTCTGAGCTATATTAGTTGGAATGTCTCTGATTCTATATAAAGTCATGAGTCGGTTACTGATTAAGTAGACATTTTCTAATAAATGTATGACCTGTTTATTCCAACACACTGCACTTTTCCATAATCAATTAAAGACATTTCATACAGTGTATCGTTGTTATCGCTTTTGATGTCAGTTAGTCGCGCTCTACACCACTTCTGTTCTTTCAAGTCCAGTGATTCAATGATGTACAAGACTAAATACAAAGTATCTAAAAGCATTCACATTAGACTAACATAAAACTGATTGATTGGTACATTACCGAGTTGTGGGTTCGCCACAGTTTCCGCTCCTCCCATCTTAACATAACTTTCTATGTCTTTGTTTAGTTGGTTCAATTTCGATTG